GTACATTTGGACTGTCCATGTCCATAGAGCTGACACCGGAAGCACTGTGTCAGCTGGCTCTTGGCGTGCTGAGATTCAACACGAACTCTCAGGTTCCCAAGTGCCCTCACGTCAAAGATGGCTTTTTAGTCTATAGTTGGCGATGTTAGTATTATCCCCTTTTTACAGACCAGGATAAACTCGGTATTTTGCCAGGATTCAACGATTCTTTCCTCGCTTATGTATCTATTCAACAAGACACAAAGTGCCCTCCCCAGAGCTGCTCCTCCCATTTTTGGCATTCTAGCAGTGATGCGGTCTCCACCAGGAGCTTTCGCGTGCTTAATTTGCTTCAGCGCCTTTTGAATTTTTGCCCTCGTTGTTTCGGGAATTTCTTCTGAGTCGACATTTTGCTTTCTGGTTTTGGTATAGTTGAGCCGTACCGATCTTTGAAGGAGCTCCGAATTACACAAACAATTTCCTGCGTATCTCCATCCCGTTCTCCCCAATTGATTTTTAATTTAGAACACTTTTTTCTTTCCATTCTAGATACGTGATTTGAGTAGTTTGATAGTAGAGCTATTTTCTATTCCGCTTTGCATGAGCTGGCTGTTATGGTTCTTTAGGTCCTTTCGAGTTTCCTTGTTTAATGTCCTGCACAACTCCCTAGATTCGTTGGAATTTCTCGTTGTTCTTCTTCTCTGACCGAGTAGCTCCAAAGTTTGAGGACTGAACTTCGAATTTCTGCTACTTGGATACTGTTACCAAGTGTTGTCGATAGTTGGCTGAGGTTCATTTTCTCTAGGTTGCTTAACGGTTGCAATTTTGCTTCTATGGTTGTTTGATACTCGGTCTCATTTGCCTTTCCGTAGTTGGGTAAGTTTTGTTTTGGACAAGCTTTCGCCTTTCAAGTTCAGCTTTGATTGCAATATCTGCTCGAACCATCTGTGGTCACTTCCTTAATTGAAATTATTCAGCACGTCTCGTTCAGGCATATTTTACGTCTATTTTATATTTCAGGATATTTCTGCCAACATTTTTTCGATTGGTTCGTCGCTAAAATCGGAAACTTATAGTTTACTCCAAACTGCAAGCACTCAAAAATTCACTTAGTTGGAAACTTTCTTGGATTTTTTAACCATTTTAACATTCGGAAAGAGAAAATCGAAACCCGCTAAAACCTGCCCATATTTCCTTAAAACCGAAATAACTCAACGCACGCAACGCAAGCACGCAAAAAATCACGTCACTAGCGACTATCTTAGATTTCCCAGGAATTTTTCGCCCAAGGGAGCGAATAAACAGGGTGTCCAAATTACAAGATTTTTTTTAAATTTCACTAAGATAAACCCAGAATTCTTTCAATCCTCCCTTTTACTTCATTCGAGTGCCATAAAGTCACTTCACTGGCAAAGTTTTCCGGAATTTTTGATGCAACATAAAGAGTAATCTGGCCGTTAGACATATGGGATTTTTTGAAATAAAATTCGTAAATACATGATTCGAATGAACAACTCCAAACTCGAAATACGGAGAAAAATCGCGTCACTGGCAGTTTTCTCGGATTTTCGGGCGTTATACTAACAAGCTTTTTTCAAAAAATAATCAAGGCAAAACCAAACAATCTCCTTTTTACAAAAAAAATTATTTCAAGTTTTAATTTAGCTTTAAATACAAAAAAGCTAATAAGCTAAGGAATATGGTAAGCACGTTTCTGTTCACCCTGATTATGGACGACATCATTTAAGAGATCAGCGGCTTAAGAATGGGGTATAGGATCAACAGAAAATCGATTAGCATCATTTGCTACGCTGATGACGCGACAATATTGGCAGAAACGGAGGACAATTTGCAAAGACAACTTCACAGATTCAATCAGGTCAGCACACAATTTAATGTGCAAATATCAATATCCAAGACAAAATGTATGACAATTGCCAGGGAACTAACGAGATGTAAGCCGGTTATAAATAATTGTCGGGCAAGTCACAACTTTCAGACACCATGGAGTGGATATTTCTAGCCGCAACGAACCAATTAAAGATCTCAAATCCCAGATCAACAAAGCCTCGTTAACATCAGGTTGCTTAAGAGACGTCATATGGAACAACAAACATATGAGCATCGACAGTAAAGTTCGAATATATAAAACATGCGCAGGACCAATACTCACCTACGGCATCGAGACCCGAGCAGACACAAACAAAACAAAATGTATGTTAAGAACGGCAGAGATGAAGACTCTAAGGTCAATAGCGGAAAAACACTACGGGATAGAGTGAGGAGCGCAACAATAAGACAGACCTGCAAGGTAGAGGATATAATCAGATGGGGACGAAAGCGCAGAAGATGCTGGCGGGACCATGTAGAAAGAATGGACTCCGAAAGAATAGCCAAGATTGTGTCGAATGGAAATCCAGCTGGTAAAAGCCTCATCGGAAGACCACCGAAAAGATGGAAGGATAGTTGGACATCCATATCACAGGAGAATCAACAACATTGACCAGACGAAAAACGCAGAGCAAAGGGTCTTTAAAAATAATAATAATAATGAGAATAATTTTGCTTTAAGTACAAAAAAGCTAATTCCATTGGCAACTTGAATTTTTCAAGCATTATTGAACAAAAATGGCTATAAATTGGCTGTAAGACTAAGAAGGTTCTTTAAAAAATCATCAGAGGAAGAACGAAACTTTCTGCACCTTGCTTTTTACTTTATTTGAAAGCAAATTCCACAAATTTGAAGAACAAAAAAAAATCGCCTTTTTAAATAAAATTTGAGGAATTTTATGGCGAGTAGACATTAATTCTTACAAAAGTCCTCAAAAAAAAACGAACCGAAAATTTATCTTTTTTTTTATTTTTTTAAACGAAGCCATCGGATAAACTGGCCCTATTTTTTTTAAATTCGTTAGAAGGAAAGGAAAAATCTCGCAGCTCTGACTTACTTCATTCGAAAGCAACACTACGGTTACTTTTCTTCTTCTTCTCGGGCTATCTTCATCCACTCCGGAATGTAGGCCTCTTCCAATGATCTCCACGCTTGTCTGTTTCGGGCAGTCTGCATCTATCCTTTTCTTGCTATCCGTTGGAAGCCATCCCGCCATCGCTGCAAAAATTACAATTTTTAATTCTGCACGCAATACACTAATTTTCGAATAATGCAGACCAAAATAGAGTGCATATGGCTTTCTATAAACCGGTTTGTTTTCAAATGACCACATTAAAAACAAAGAAAATTGACTTGAAAATTTTATACGCTGTTGTCCATTAAAGATGGCTTTGTCTACCAGTGCATGAACGTCAATAAATATTAACTGCATTTATTGGTTAGTTAACTCACATTTGAAACCGAGAAAATTGTTTAAACTTGGTTTCTTTACGAACCCTAGAAGTCTGTACTGGATGCTCCGAATAACTCTGTGAATTTAGGTAAGTTCTTGTAGAATCCGATATCAGAAAAACTCTGCTCAGTCGAAAAGAGTTCTGCATTTTAAAATTTCATTTTTCAGTTCAGTTTTCAAGAGTTCCATTATTTATTTGAGTACCTAAATATCACTGCGCACTCTCATCACGGAACTACAAAACTCATCACAGGACCACGCAATTTCACATCACAACCTCAGTTCACAACAGCAGTTTTTAATGCTTACTGGAACGTTTCGACTAAATATCATAGTTTGGTGTTTGTTTTGTTGATATTTATTTTGTAATTTTAAAGTTGCTTGTTTTTGTAAAGGTGGGACTGGCTATAGAAGCACAATGAGAATATTTGGTTCTGAAAAAGATAGAGACACAGAAGTATTCAGAAGAATGGATGAATTGCGTGAAAGTCCCCAAGTTTCAACAGGAGACCGTACAGAACGGAAAGAAAAATCTAAGTTGATGTATTTTTTCAACAATATTCCTTTACAAAAGAAATACTGTATATCAGCTTCTCGAAACCCATTACATTAAAAAAAATCCATTTTCTCCAGATATTTTTTGTCGTTGAAGCCTAAAATAAACTATTTTATTTGTGTGGAAAAGCTTACAATTTATTTAAAGACAATTAAACCTGATAACCTAGGAATTTGTACTAGAAAGATTAAACAGTCAAAGTCAGAGTAAAAGTCAACATTTGTATTGTTTCGGTTCAGTTTACGTGCACTCGGAATCCATCCACAATAAACTTGTGTCTTGTCATACATGCGTTGCTTTATCTAAACTTTCTACCAGATCTCAAACCAATAATATATTGAGGTTGATGCATTCATTAGCCGCATTTGACTGTGAATTCGTGCATTTTACAGCAGTCTGAAGCGTTAATGTGTTGAATGCTTAATAAGGGTTTTGCTCCACACCCACCAACGCTCTTTTGGCGGAGAGCTCCGAAATAGCTTTATCCTACAGGAGAAACATTTTTGCGACAAAATTTTTATCAAAACATATAGGAATAAAACAGCATCCACTTATTCAAATTATAACAACTTTAAGAAGATCTTACTTACAAAAACCGTCTAATCAACGAATACCGATAATAGTACAGGCCTTTGAACCGTTCCTGCCATATACCAGAAAAATATCCTATCATAAAAACTTCCCTTGTTACGATATCAGCATGGAGAATCAAATAAAGAACATAAAAACGCTCAATTTCGACTTAAGAAAGGATGACATTGACATTGCACAAACATTTTTAGCAACTACATCAAGATACAAAAACACACATAAGTTTATTTATACAGACGCCTCAAAGAAAAAAGATAGAGTTGGTTTTGGAATATATATCCCAGAACTAGACCTCAAATTCTCTAGCAAATTACTTAACGAGTTAGAGATTTGTAATGCTGAAATTGAAGCAATCCACGAAGCAGTCGACATGGCAATTAAGAAGAAATTCGAAAACGCTATAATATTCTCTGACTCGTCAAGTGCAATTAGGAAGATAAGCAGGACAGG